TCCTGTCCCATTCAGGATTTGTTTGAATGGCTTTCATATGTTTCTGACCTCATGATACCATGTGAATTTCCTTAAATGTTTATGGAACAGAAACAATGGCCACCCACCATGGATAAGGCATCTTTAGAGCTATAAAGATGAAAGAGGGTCAAATCCTAACCTCATAGAGCTTAAACTCTGTAGCAAGAGAGGGGCAAGGCCTTTGCATAAAGCAAACCAAACCATGAGAATTTTTTAATCACATATATATGTAAAGTGCAAGAGGTAGGGATGGATCATGGGACTTTCCAGAAGCAGTGACATGAGGGCAGGATTCAGTCATCCTTCCACCCATGTATCTGTCCACCTACACTTCCCACCGAGCACCAGAGACTGTAGAACAGCAATTCGTAGCCAGCTGTCTTGTGTTTCCACCCTCAAGGCCACTGCAGGAAGAGGGAAGAGACCTGTGGGCTGGTCACTGAGACTGGACCAGGGAGTGGTCACTGAGGGCCCCAGGAGCATAGACGAGGATGAGACATCAGGAAGGGCTTTCAGGAGGAGGTGATTAGAAAAATAGGTTGGGGAAATCAAAAAGAAGGTAGAAGATAGAGAAAAATAAAGGAAGAAAATTAAGTGAAAGCATGGGAGAGAAAAAAATAAAAAAGCAGGGCTGGTGTGTGACAGCACCCAGGTGGCTGAGAGCCTGTGTGAGGGCTGGGAATGGAAGCACAGAGAGGTGGGCGGAATGCTGAGGGCTTTGATGGGGGTGAAGGAGGGCAAAGCAGGTGGCCATTCCACCCAGAAGGACCAACGGAATCAAAGGTGCAGAGATGTGAGCAGCACAGTGCATGAAAGCAAGGCCACCAAGCAGCCCAGTGTGGCTGGAACCGAGGGGCACAGAGAGATGAGTCCGGAAAGGTGAAATGGGGCCCTAAATCCATCGTGCCCCTGTGGAATTCTGTCTCATCCCCCCACAGCATCTGGCTGGCCCACTTCTCAGCATGACAGTGCAGTCATTCTAAGTCCAGCAGCCTGCCCGTCTTCCCTCTCCATAGCCATGGCTTTATGACTTTGACTTGGACTCTGAGCCACGCCGGCCATGTGGATGAGCTGCCATACTAGAGAAACTCTTTGAGCCTTTTGCCATGTGCAGTGTTTTCTCCTCTGGCTTCAGATCTCTTTTCCATGTGGCTTTCGGGGGGCTTCATATTTTGGCCAACAGTTAGTGTCAGAAATAGATGGTTAGGAAATAAATACCTAAGAGATAGTTGGTTCAAAATGAATGTGTCCTTTTAATGGTGTTCATCCTAGAGGATTCCAAGGGCAAAGAAATTCTGGGTGTAACCCAGATTTTGGCCACATCTGTGAATTCAAACGAGGTTAGTATTCTCACATGTTGTCTAAGAGAAGAAAGGTAGTTGGCTCCCTCAGCCTTAGAGTGAATAAAGTGAGCTTAGATCTTTGCATTTAAATGCCTTTTTGTAGAAGGTGATTATGTCAGTCACACAGAAAAAGAAGGCTCTTGCCACTGATTTATGTTCTTGGTATTTTCTGGGAATTTTGTCAACCTTCAGAGAACAGTCTGATCATTTTTAGATTTCATTAAGTTCCTCAGAAACAGTGGCATGCCACAAATGCCTTTCATTTCTTAATATATAATAAGCATTAATAACTGACAGCAATTCTTCCTAATGAGCTTAGTCAAATAAGTACCTCTTGCACATCCAGGTCTTTGTTTGGCATTATAGATGCCAATGAAACACAGTGCTTAAGGAGAACTCATATAATTCCTATAACCTGAAACAAACAAAACAAAAGTAGCAAATCTCCCTCTCCATTATTATTTTTAAGTATTTTTTTTTGATATCCCTTTTCTTGCTCTCATATGAAGATGGTTTCAGGGTCAGTTATAAGGTGTTTTAACAGCATCTTCTCAGAGGGACAGCAAAATCTTTAAATTCCTTTTAATTATGTGAACCTGCCTAAACACTGGAGATGTCTTTCCAAACAAAAGAAATCCATTTGTGAAACATGAAAATTGTTCATAGACAAAACTGCCCTAAATAACCAGGGCACTTCTGATTGAAACTAACTGGAACCAAACTCAAAGTAGCACAAGTTAAGTGAGAATATGCTAATTCATATACTCAAACACCTGGGGTAGAAGGCTTCAGCTAGATTCAGCATCTCAGACAGTAATAATGTGATGTAGTCCTCAATTTTGCCCAATTGAGTCTGGCTTTATTTTCCTCTCTATTTGCCTTATTTTCAGGTGGGCTTCTTGCCTACAGTAGCTCCTGACAGCTGCAACCTCACATTCAACCAATATAATCTCCATGAGCGGGGAGATACTCCCTCTCCCCATTGCCTGTGGTTTTAGCAAGAGTCCTGAGCTGGGCTCTCATTGTCTCAGCTTGGATACATCACTGTGGACCAAGTAAGGAGGTGTTCAGCTTGAATCAAGCCAGAGCTATGGGACAGGTCTGCCCTACTCAAACCAAGTAAACTGAGAGCAGCCTCCCAGCGTAAAAACACATAGTGCCCACGTTCCAAAAGTAGGGGAAGAGATACAGAGCAGGTTACAACCACTGTTCATATAATTTCATCACTAAATCCTCATGTACTGGAAAATTGGGTGGTACAAGTCAGGTGATGGACATGTAACAATACTAATAATAATAAATGTAAGAGGTAATAGACAATCAAAAAATAAAATGTCATTTTTAAAAATAGGTTTTTTCTTTTTATCTTCAAATGCCAAATAGCTCCTTGAATTGTATTGTTTTCACTGAGTCCAACAAATTAAACAATAATTAATGCAGATGCTTCCTAAACTCACTTTAAACTAAGGAAAGATTCTGTAATTCTCTGATTAGTTAGATTCATTGTTTTGGAACCATATAGAAATGATTTTCAGGTGATAGAGTTAGATAAGCTACCTGACACTGTGTAAACAGTATGATATGTGTCTGGTTTTTTCAGCCAATGGAGTCTCTACAAGGCCGATGTAAAAGCCTCTTCTTCAAGGGAATTTAGCATCATTTTATAGAAGAATTGAGGAGAGAGCACAACCCTGTCTTTGCAGTCACTCAGTTTTCCTATGATTATTTAAAAATAGGAATTTTTTCTTTCACACTTATCAATCACATTCTCACCATAACTCTATAAAATAAGTATTCGTGAAGGAATTTGACAGGTAAAACAAAAAGTATTTCTTAGAAATCTATAACAAAATAGCTGAATACATTTTTTCATGTTTTTATTTTTCATTAAATTTATTTTTTAACTCATGCAGAAAAACACAAAAATTGTACCTCTTCATGGACTACCATATGCCTTTTTTTTCCAGTGCTAGGGATGAAACCCAGGGCCTGGTGTATACTAGGCAAGCACCAGAGCTACATCCTCAGCCCTGTGATGTTTCGATTCAGGTGTACATTGCATAACCAAGTTAAACTTATCTGTCTCTTCAAACATTTATCATTTCTTTATGGCAAAACATTAAAAATCTTTTCTCCTAGCTTTTTAGGGATATACAGCACCTAGTCGCTACCTCCAGTGGCCCTACTGGGTAAGAGCACACATAGCCTTCTCTAACTGCCACTTAGTATCTATTGATCAGTCCTCATCCCTTCCTCCTGGCTACTCTCTCAAGCCCTGTAAAAAATGAGTACATTTTTAAAATTAGAAACTTTTAAAACCAAAAAAGAATGAAATCTGGATAGGAGACTTGCTTGGCAAATAGACCGGTTTATTGCTGTGAATCTAAATTATAGGTTTCTGAAATATGCATGTATATATATATATACAATTTTCAGTTTATTTTCCTCTTTATAACACCAGAGTTTTAGCCAAACAAGGACTCTCCAGAAGACATTTACCACTTTATTCTACTTTCTTCCATCATGCCAACATTTTTCTTTACTTCCATGTTTTTTTCCATTTGGAACTTCAATTACAATGAAGGCAAACATATATTTCACAAAACTGATGGCAGTGGTGATTAATTTTTTAAAAGATCATAATAAACCAGCTTTACCAGCTTCAGTCTCATTCCATAGGCTTTCTTTTCTCCCTCCTTTCTTTTTAAATTACTGTCAACCTACCAAACCCACCTGATTTCAATGCTGAAATAAAAGCTCCATGACACTCTGCAGCACAAAGGAGACAGCTTCCATTCTGGAGTGAGCCTCTCTTGTCCTCTCATGGTAGCATCTGCACTATCATGATGTCCTTTTCATCCACCATGGCTCCCATATATACTTCTTTGAGCAATGAGATTCGCCAATTTTTCATCATTCTAGAAAAGATAGTAGCCGACTCTCTAGGGGACTCAGTGTTCTTACTTGGAGGTGTTAGGAATTGCTCAGGGCTATAAGGACCTGTGTAAATTACAGCCATGCAGAGAGGCGTTGAAAAATCAATAAGTAATGAAATAGTACTGGAGTGAAGTAGCCAAGAGAGCAATGGGTGGGAAACTCCCAAGGATGCAGTTTCATTTTGTCAAAAGGTAAAAGAAGATGTTCTGATGTGTGTCTATAAAACGGGCTTCCTTGGAAATAAGAAGCTTTTGGCAAAGAGAGCAGTAGTGTCACTCCAGTGTGCCGCAAGAACGCAGTGGGCTGTGGGCTTCTTGGCACTCCAGTTTTATTTTTAATTATTTTAAGTTTTTATCCCAGTAAAGTGATAAGTATGGCACTTATTGTCTTCAGCACTGCAGGTATCTTCCCCTTACCTGGTTTCCTGTACACTTGATACTCAAGCACACACCATTTCCTACATCCTATAAAGGGCCACCCATACTGCCTACACAAACCGTCTTCAGCCTTTCTGATCGTGCGTTAGCAGTGTTCCCCAAGAATGTGATGGTGTGCTCGAACCTGGGTGTCACCCAGTGGCTCCCACTTGTTCACAGCTGCCTCTGGGAATGTGCATCCTGCAGGCTGAAACTCTCCAAACCCAATTGCCAAAGGCCTTCATTTTGAATGCAACATTCATGAAGTTGAAAGTCCCTGTGCTGATATTTAAATTTGCTAACTTTTTATTTGAAATTACAACCAAGGCCCAGATGTTCATGATTTGTTTTGAAGCAACAGAATGGATTTTTGTACATAGTGTGGAGTATTTGAATATAACCAAGAATTTGATCGGGGAGATGCATTCAGTACTTTGGACAACCTGCTTCTCTCCTGCTTCTGAGTAAAGGTCTCCATTTGTCACCTTTCCAATGGCCATTGATGGTCTGTGCTCCTTTTCTATGAAAAACAAAAACAAAATTTCATAACAAAATATTAGGAGAAGAACAACAGTTAATACACTGTGTATCGTTATCTTTAAAGTAGTTCCTCAGAGCTTCACTCTTCACATGTCCATTTGGAATGTACATGAAGCTTCTGTAGGAAGGATGAGCCACCATCCAAACCTGGAGATCTAGGCCAAAAGAAGGGAAGCCATAAAGCTGACCAAATATGGAAATACATTTGTGTGTGTGTGTGTGTGTGTGTGTGTGTGTGTGTGTGTGCAGTTTCTGGCCTGTGTTTCTCAGTAGACCTATTAAGAATGGAGAATGTCCCAAGCTTTCTTTGGGGTCAGACGGTATCTCTCTAGCCACTGGGGTTGAAACTTTAAAATATACCAGCATGGAGATGAAGAAAATAATCATTGTTCTTTGTGCAATTAAAAGACTTTATAACCTTTGTGAGATTGTGACTTGAGTCTTAAAACACGAAGTAGCAAACTCTATCCTCATTCCTTTACTGACACCCAAGTACATTTGGTGCACTGACAAGAAAAATCTTTTATACTTGATAAAGCAGGGTAATAACCATAAACTGAAGAGCACTGGGATTTGAACCAACTGCCAGCCCATTTGTTCTATATATCAAGTATGTTTCCTGACAATTAATGAACTAGCTTTAATTATTGTTTTTAACTCTCAAACTGTGTCTTCCTGTATTGGAAATGAAGATAGGTGTGTATGATTTAAATCCCCCCAAAAAGAACTTTTCTCTGATGTATCTAGACAGATAACAGGAGAGGGGGTTAGGCGGCTTGAATTATCTGCTTAATTTGACTTTCCTCATCTCCTTTACATAAACACATAGAATCTAATTGCTTGCTTTGTACCCATCACATGCACCAGTTTTGGTGAAAAGTCTAACAGATAATAGACTTGGTACCTGTGCCTTCATCCTACTTCTGTGCTTGCTTGTCCTCTACTCAATGTGCTTCTAGCGAATCCCTGTAAGCCAAGTTCCATGCCGGCCATGGATACAGCAATACTCACTTCCTCCAACCATCTATCGTTGATGCCATTATCCATTGTTTATGACATTGCAACCACAGTAATGAATTGATATTCTTGATCTTTGAAATGCTTAGACAGGAGGCCACACATTATAAGGAAAAAAAACCACGTCAAGACTCGGTTCTCTTCGGCGGGGGTTGGAAATGGATATTGTGCAGAAAATGCATTAAAGTTGAAGAGGGTTTTGCTTAACATGATGATTTTAATGACGTAAACAGTCATGATGGGCAATAACTCCTTCAATCAGATTGTGGGGAGACCCTACTTAGGGCAGGGTGCTGGTGTGATTCCAAGTCGTGCTACCGCCACGAGACACTAGGGGTCACCATATTAATACCAGTGTCCTAGTTCCACTACCCTCCAGAAAAACCTACCGTCACCGAGTTCTTGGCTCCCTGTTTAGTCAAGAAATGTGGTTCATGACATGTGACCATTTGCAGTTATTTCAAACACCACTGAAATAGCAGGGTGGAGTTCTCTCTAAGCCTCTTTCTGGTGAATGAGAAATTTTAAGGGCCACCTGTACATATCAATCCATTTCTTTGGGCTAGATGTAATAATAAGGGTATACAAATAGTCATCCAAGTATGGGCCATTTCCATTCAAAAAGCTATGTGGAATTCCAGTCCAGTATTCTGCCAATATCTGGTTCCATCACACCAGGATAACACTTCCCCTAGCCAAGATTAATACTTCTGTTGAGAGTTGCTTAAAACATTAGTGACTCTTTCTCAACTCTATGTTTTCATTCCTCAATTCAAAATTATTTTCCAAAGTAGCTTAAGTAATTGTCTATAGTCCACAAATACATGGTCACCTGGCTTTGCCATCGTCCCAAAAAGATGGGTAACTATGGACCCAGGTCTACGGAGGCTCCAAACTCCAAAGGATAGAATTCGGCATACTCCTATTAGAATCTAAAGGTTGACCCTCCCCACACCCACACTGCCACCCCAAGCAGGAACCTTTAGTTATCTCGTTGGGGTAGAGCTTCTGAAGCCCAGGATTAAAGTACATGAAGATCCATAAAACAAAAACAAAAGCAAAGACAAAGTTCTTCAAGGAATCAGATGGCAGTTGGTAATAATAAACTGTGGTATTGTACACATTCTCTTTGTTTCTGTTTCATTGATCTGTTGAGTGCCTAATATGTGTAAGTGATATGTGTTGGGCAATGAGGGACATGTAGAAAGAAAACAGTAATTACTGTGTCCTCTTCCCTCGCCTCAACATGTGTCCACCTGCCTTGCCCAAACATCCTGCCTTCACCCACCACTTTTCTCCCACAAGACAGAGATTCTGTCTTCCTCCCTCCTGCACTCCCTACTTGTCCTGGACTCTCACTTGCCTTTCCTATCCTCTCTTTCTTTCGAACCCCTTCTATTGGGTGTAATAGTAAAGACACTCAAGTGTGTTTTGCAGTTTTTTAATCCTCTCTGTGCTTAATTTTTTAAAGAATATTTGTTTCCCAAACAAAATACTAAATCACTTTGATTTTTGTCTATATCCTTAACCAGTTTTTTCCTATGAGTTATCAGCCCTTGAGAGTAAAAGACAAGGAGTCCCTTCTTTCTTCTTCTTCCAAACCATATCCATGGCTAGGTAGAAAAGTGATTTAAGGTATTTCTGTGTAGCAAATTAATTTTGCAAAACCAATGGTCTAGAAGTAGAGAAATAAATCAAAAAGGTGAAAAAGGTGGTATTTGTTAAGTAGGTATATCAGAGGACTTGAAATATGCTTCTGTCTAACCTGAAAATTAGACTCTTGTGGGCCCAACCCTTACTTCCTACCAAATAGCAATGAAGTCATCCAGGGTATAATCATATCAAAGGGTATATTTGATATTATTTGTTAAGTTCTCCCAAACCCTACCTGTAAACACCAGCTTCATAGAACTTGAAATTTAAAAAAAACCTTTGTTAACTGAGGCTCGTGACTTTGACCTTCCATTCCTCCAGAATAGGGAATTCTTAACAATTTAACCCTTGGCTATTTTTGCAGCTGCTGTGGGAAAGGGGCAGAGAAAAAGTTTCTCCAAGGTTCTCTTTGAGCAGGTTGCGTTCGATGTGACAAAAATTGCAGTGGCCTGCATCAGGGCAGCAAGAGATTTATAGGGTCTGCTTGGGTTCATACATTTTGTTTCCTTTGTGGGTGGACCTTCAGTTGACAACCACAATAACATTTTCTGATCAGCTATTTATCCTTACTACATCCAAAGCTGCACTTGGATGGTCCTAGTGACCTTGTAAATAAAAAGACAGTAACACAAAAGTTCCTCATCAGGTTCTAGGGACTCTACTGGGTGTGGTAGCACATGCCTGTAACCCCAGCACTCAGAAGGCTGAGGCAGGAGAACTGCTGTAAGTTCAAGGCCAGCCTGGGCTACATAGTGAGGCCCTCTCTCGCATAAATAGATAGAGAGATGAATAAATAAATAAATAAATAAATAAATAAATAAATATTAAAAGGGTTTAGGAACTCTGATAATTCCATGAATGGGCTGAAAATATAAGTGAAATTTAGGGCATACATTAACATTTCTGCAGAGGTTCTATCACATTAATCATTTCTTTCAAAAAGCCATAGACCCTAGAAGTTTAAGAACCTTCTGAAGAAGAGGATTTCTTTTGTTGTACCAGGGATCGAACTCAGGACCTTGTGCTTGCAAGGCAGGCACAGTGCCACTGAGCTAAATCCCCATCCCAAGAGGATTTTGACTTAGGTCTCTCAAGGCTGAATCAGGAATCTCTTGGCAAGGCTTCTTAGTACATAATGTGTATTCAGAGGGGGACTCTCATCTTCACCATTGGGCAAATGAGGGTGCTGAGGTAGGGAGGCAAGCAGCTTCCCGAGGACACAGGTGTAAATGTACTGTGACAGTTTGAGCATCAGGAGTGTCTGGCTCCACAGACCAGGGCTTTAACCAACCATTGGCCCACTATGCTATGCTGCCCCTTGACTGAAGGGTAGGACTTGACCCTTTCAGAACAAAAAAGAACAGACAGTGCAAGGAAATGTGAACACTAAAAAATGAATAAGGAAGTAAATCTAAGCTCTCTCATCCCAGTCTCACCCCCAGGATGTTGGTGATTTGGGGTAGTTCCCAGGTGCTCCTTGGAGTCAGGACAGTAGGCAGGGCCAGCCGGAAATGGTGGGTCCGTCTTGAGCCTCATATGCACCTCATGTTTGACTCGCACTTTCCACTTGGCAGTTCCCAGCCTTCTCCCTCCTTTCACTTGGTGCTCCCCAGTGGAGGGACATGGAGGAGTCATGGAGATTACTGTACAGATGAGAACACCAGGACCAAGAGAGCTTGCACCTTCCCTGTGCTATGCTTTGTGTGTGGCTTGGGTGTCTTCCAAAAGTCCATTGTGCCTGAAGGCTCGAGTCCTAGGGAGGTGCTGTTGGGAAGTGGTGGAAGTTTAAGAGGCAGGGTCTAAACTTCCATGTGCAGCCAACTCTGCATCCAGGGGGCATCTTTTTTTTTTTTTTTTTTTTTTGACCAGGCATGGCACCACAAGCTTCCCACATGCTAGCACTGAGGTACATCCCCAGCACTATTTTTCATTTTGCAGCAAAGTCTCACTAAGTTACCCAGGCTGGGCTTGAACTTGAAATCCTCCTGCCTCAGCTTCCCTCTGGAGTAGCTGGGATTATATGCATGTACCACCAGACCCAGCTAGGGGGCATCTTTTAATTTGGGGGGCTATCATAGATACGACCCTGAGCATATGCAAAGCACTTTCTTTCCATTATCTCACTTCATCCTCAAAACACCCCAACAAGGCAACTATTACTTCTTCAGTTGCACAGTCAGGGAAACAGGTTTCATAGCATAGTGAGTAAGTTTCAAAATACAGACTTCAGGCTGAGATGTGTCCACTCCCCACCATTTTCTTGTTGCCACTGGGCAACGCTACCATCGAAGGAGACAGGAAAAGCAGAGGAGGAGGAAATGAGTAGCCCTGTTCCCATGATGAGCAATGCTTTCTACCTTCTCTGAGGATGGGCACAAATGGAAATCTGCTGTTTAAAGCACTAGTGCATGAGGTTAAAATTAAAGAGGACAATTACGAATGATTAGTCACTGCAGCGGGGCTCGGGGCTCCATGGGCGTCTTCAAAAATAGGATCAGCACTCACTCCTTGGACCTGGTACAGAGGAGCTGTCAAAGAGCTCTTTTCTAGGCCTGTGATTCTGCAATTAACTCTTCTAAAGGAGCCAGACTGCGCAAACTCATTAGAAACAATGACCCCATTTCTCAGGAGGTGTGGAGTCAAGCAGGTCCCAAGGAAATTTCTTTGGCACCCAGTGATCATGAAATTAACACCCTCACGGCTGGCTTTGGATCAGTCTCCTGTGTTGGGTCTTCGGAAAGGGAGTAGTCCCTCAATCTTTTTGTTTTGAAATCCCGGGAAGCCAGGCATCGGGTGGTTTGGGTTTCAACACCTTTGAATGTATCATTTCAAACAGTCGCTATTGCTGAATTGTAATTCATTTCAAGGTCCTAAGAGAAGCCCTGTGAGTAGACATAGAGGGGCTGCGAAGGCTTTGAAAGGGCGGTGGAGGTTAAGGTGTTTGGGAAGCAGATCAGGGGAGATCTGAGCCAAGGAGGCATCACAGCCAGAGCTGGAGGGACGGTAAGAAGGGCAGCTCACGTGCCAGCTGAGTGGAGCAGGGCCAGGGTGGAAGGGCCTCCTCTTTCCAAATCCCCTGGGAATAAGAAGAAAAGCAACCTAAGTGGGGGCCTTCAGGGGCTTTACATGGGCCCCTGTCACTAAGAGCCAGCCATTGCAACTGAGCTTCTGCCCGCAGCACCCTCAGAGGAGGAGGCCCCGGGATGCCACAGCTTTGATGTGTTCTGTGGGTAAGATTCCTCTTTGTGGAACCTTCCCTTCGCTTCCAACATTATGTCTGCTAAAGAGTGTTTTCACAGTGAAAGAAGGCCCAGCCCAGCATGGCTTCAAGCCAGAGAGGCCATCAGATTTCTCTTCCTGCCTTTCAGGGGTCCCTGGGGTCCCCTCTGTAGCCCCGTGCAGGTATCTGACCTCAAACCCCAGAGAATTTGGGTTTCTCCTCCTGCTGCAAAAAAATATAGCTCCAGGGTTCTTTCTGAAAGAGCCATGGGTGGAAGAGAGTTAGAGAAAGATCTGAGTTCTGGCCGCTGGGAAAGAAAAAGAAGCTGGGGTTGGGGGGAATCGAGCAGGATGGAGGCGGCTAAAAGGGAGGAGGTTTTCTTATTTTCTTCTGCAGCCATCTCTTTTGGAGATCTAAAATCTGCAAGTGTTACGTCAAAGCTTCCTCCAGATGACTTGATGAGGGTTTTTGTTGTTGGGTTGCTGCACTCTCGGGACTCATTGGGATGGCAGGATAAAAATTAATTAGAGGCTGTTTGGAGGGGGCTTTGCAAGACAGCCCGAGGCTATGCTTCAGTCTGGTTGTTAGAAGCAATATCATCACCGCCTCCTCGCCCAGCGAACAGACCTATACCAGGGCGGCCGAGGGGAGCCACGGATCGTTCGACACAGACATCAGAGCCAAGACTTCCTCCCAGAGAGATTACTTACCATGAACCAGTGGATCTACCTGCTGACAACCTCAGAAATATGTCTTGTTTCATTTTCCGATTTTTAAGAGGGGTTACATACGAAGCTTGCAGAATCCTGATGAAATTGCTCTAGCAGGAGGGGTCCTTGCCCACCCACACCTCTGACTATGACATTCAGGCTGGGCAGAGCCACCAGCAGCCATGAGGAAGGCAGGATCCTTTCCTAGCCACGGATCTAATTCTGTTTTAGCGGATGGCAAACTAAAAGTGGGGCTTGAGGAAGCTGGCATGCTTCTGCTAGCCAGTGATTATTTCAATTCGAACACTTTACAGGAAACCAAATCTAGCTCCTCTTCGCTACAGTCTTTGTCTTCCTCTCTGTCCTTGGTTCCTCCTGTCCCTCTACCCTCTCCTTTGCACCTAATCCTTCTTTACCTGTAGTCCTGGCTCCATGAGTAAGCATGGTGTTTGATTAATTAGTAACTGGCTCCTTACATCTGGATAAGACAGTTCAAAGCAAGCTGTTAGTCCTGGCATGTGGTCAGCCACAAGTAGCTTTCCTGGCTATTTCACCCTGGAAATGGAGAATGCAAAATAGACAGATGTCTGGGTCCCCTTCTTAGGTGTACTTTTATGCATCATGAAAAATCCTTTGCACGGCTATAATATAGTTTGTCTCCAGACCACCATAAAAATCTTAGCTGGTTCATTCTCATAACATTTTCTGTGATGCAAGCAGTAATGAAAGTCCCTGTTTTATCAATGGAAAAACTGAGATTGTTCTTATTTCCCACATCCAAAAAAAGGCAATCTTTGTGTGAGCTCAAAGAAGACTTGGAAACTCCTAGGAGCTGTCCCCTCTCTCTAAATATAGCTGTGTCTTTTTTATTGCCTATAATTGTTTCCTTGCATCATGATGGGAGTGAGAGTTGGGTGCCAGAGGGAACAATTACCAAAAGAAAAACAGCAAGTTCTCCCCCAAACAGCCATTTCCAAAATGAATTCACCAGCTGTGTGATATGAAATTGCACCATCACACATGTCAGCAACTTCCTGTGTAGTTCCCACAGGTGTATTCTTTGAGGTGAGTCTTAGTTCCTTGACCTCAGATCCTTATCTGGTCAAGGTCATGAATGTTCCAAACATTGGCCTTATTTCAGGGTAGACACAGGTTGGTAGTGGGCTCACTTCCATCCCCTTCAACTCTCCCTTGCTCATCCCTCCCTTGCTCATCCCATACCAGGAGACCAGCAAGAGCCCCCAGAGCAGAGACAAGAGAACCTGGTTAGTGTACTCAGGGAGGAAGCCCAAGACAACCATTTACTCATCTGCTCTCCACTATGGGGAGGTGGAAGGAGACGTGGAAGGGTTGCTCTCAGAAATCAGGTACCTACTGAAGTGAAAGTCAAGGAACGCAGCTACAGGAAGCAAAATCCTCCCCAGTTACGTACTTTCAAAGCTAACCAGTCTGCCTGAGAATCAACCTGCCACTTTATAAGCAGCCTGCATATTTAGAACCATGAAAATTAAAGATGGAAAAGACTTATTAGGTCTTCTAGCTTATTCCCTAGGGCCCAGTGCAGGCTCATTCCCTGTAGTACATCTGTTAGTGCTATGTCAGGCCTAATTTCAAGTGTCTCAAGCAATGAATATAAAAAGTAGAGTCTGGGGCATCTGCCCTCCCCATTGAACAACAATCATGTGATTAGAATTCCCTCAGCTGCTCACTGGCCTTTTCTATGCCCAGAAAGGTTTGGACTCCCTGAGGTGAGCCCAGAAGAAACCAGAAACTTCCATAAGGTAAAGACATTAGAAGATATTTTCTTCCCTTTCTATTTCACGTGACCTCCAAACTTCAAATTACAGGACACTGATTTTTTGTTTGTTAGTTAGTTTGTTTGTTTTCTTGAGACAGAGTCTCACTATGCAGCCCAGGCTGGCCTGGCACTCGAGCAGATCTTCCTGCCTCAGCCTCCTGAGTGCTGGGATTACAGGCATGCTCCATCACACCTGGCTCTCTGTAAGCAGAGTAATACACTGTCTTCTGGAAACATCCAGCCATTAGGAAGGGAAGAGAAGAGGGAAAGGAAAGGAGAGAAAAGAGAGGAGAGGAATCAGGTGTTTCAGAATTCATTTTGAAACTAAATAAACCTTACCCTCAGGGATCCAACATTTTCTCTCTGAAGTTTTCTTCTGGATTGGCCAGCAGTCAACTAAACCATGTTTCCAACCAACAGCAAAATGGTGGAAGCATGTTTAAAGATGTCAGGACTTTATTCAAGATCATACAGGACCTAATGATACAAAAATAAGGACAGATGGCTTCACAATAGCACAGCCCAGTTTTCTAGGAAACTGTTTCCCTGTTTATCTCTGTCCCCAGCTGGACAGGGAGCACATCAGATTCACATTGTCAGGTGGGAGAGTCTCTTCATGAGGGTAAACAGAAATTAAAACTCTGTTTTAGAGTCCAGAGAGCAAAGGGATCAAACCAGAGCAGAAGCAGTGTTTGGTTTTCCCCCACCCCCACCCCTTTGCTGTTTTGACATGGTGGAGAGAGTCCTTCTAGATATTCCTGTTAAAAATCCCAGATCCAGGCATTGTAAAACCCAACTGGGTGGCACCACACGGATGAGGTGAAAATAGACTCTGTGAGCCAATGCAGAAAACACACAGCCGTTTTTCTATACCGAGAATCCTGAAAACAGCACAACTTCACATTGACAGGATCATCCAAAGAGGACAGAGAGCTATTATCCAGACAGAGTCACCCATGCTGTTACTGGTCTAAAGGATGAGGCCTATTTTCTTTATTGGATCCTTTAAACAAAACTGAACTTTTAAAGCCTGCAGTCTGACTCACAGTGCAACAGTGCACTCACTTCCGAAGCCCCCAACCCCCACGCCTCTCACCATAGCCCTTTTCTCTTTTCCTCTAAAACATTATCTCGTCTCAACATTGCAGCTTTTTTAAGTTCAATGTCAATAGCTAGTTAGGAGAGGGCGGGAGGTCACAGATTAGGACTCCAAACTGTCCTTGATGCTTCTCTGTAGGCTGGTTTGCTGTTTGCATCCACCCAATAAAAAAAAAAAAAATCCCTCTTTACTATCTGAGAAAAGATCAGAACAGGAAAATGTCAGTTTGAGAGCTGACAGAATTCAGATAAGAATGAACTGGAAATGAGAGAGAGAAAGGAAGAAATGCTGTCACTCTAAGAAGTTTTTAATTTAATATTTTTAGACAAATATGTTTCCCACTGATTGTATACGTGTTTTTCACACACAACTTGTCCATCCCTCCATGTCTTTTCCAAACATGCTTCTTGAGAGAAAGGCTATCTATTTTGACTTGATTTGATCCGATGCCTATGGTCTTTCCACACCAGGCAGAGATCTGGAAGGGTCAGCCCGGCTGGCCTGAAAGCTGTGAGCACATTCACTCCCACAGAATTTCTTCTAAGCCCTGAAATAGTTTCCGCTTTCAGAAGTATCTATACATATTTTTAGAGTTAGAGAGATAATTGAAATTCTCAGGCTTAATTGAACTGACAGACTGGAGAATGGAGCACTACAGATGGAAATATTTTCCCAGTGTGACGACCTTGAAGTTCACATTTAATACCTACATAATACAGGCTTGAAGATAATATAATGGGCATTGTTTCTCTTACCATTTTTTTAACTTATGTGGCAACTTTGTCACTAGGGGAAATGGCTGGTGTTTTTACACACAGGCTACATAGAACATCACAAAGTAATCCCTGTTAAATCTTTTTCATGAAGAAAAGGCCAAGTTGTTTGAATAAAATACTCAATGAGAGTTAAGTGTCCTTCTACATTAAAAAAAAAAAATTTTCCTGGAAAGTAGAGAATTGCCTAGTTTACCCACAAAGCATTTATTGAGCACCTGTCATATGCTTCCCACCCTTTCTGGGCACTTTCTATCATTTTGGTTAATCCTATAATAACTGTACAAAGCAGATATTATTTCCATGAGAAGGGTTTGGATAAGAGGGAGGGGCAGTTGCCCAAGGTCACACTGGCACACTGTGACAGAATTTAGGTGCTCCACAGTTCTGTGGGTAGACACATTATGTGCCTGGGTTGTGTCCCATCTTTAATGGTTTGTCCTGTGCTTATTTATTTTATCACAATGCTTTTAAATATCCTGTACTTAGCTACTTTTAATGCTACAAAAATTCATTAGAGCAACTTTTCTAATTTAACTGGACTTTGCTCATGACGCTTACTTGCTTAATAGTCCTTGCCAAAACATAGATATTTGGGTTCGCTCTTGAGTCCAGTCAATGTGGGTTCAAATCCTCGCTCTACTACTTGCAGGCTGTGTGACCTTGGGCAAGTTTCTCAACCTCCCTGGGCCCCATCTGTGAGATGAGGATGAGATTAGTTCATCATAAGGATGAACACAGGGTTATGTGGAGATTTGACTGAATAAGCATAATGAAACAATCGGCCTAGTTCCTGGCACATAGTAGATATTCAAAAAAGGTCAGCAATCACCTATGGGCTCAATATCTTTTGAATATGGCCTTTCTAAAGCACAGATCTGCTTGGGTTACTCCCTTGCTACCAAACATCTCCTGGCTATAAGAAACAGCACAAATTCCCTCATATTTTACGGTGTCTTCTGAGTACTGGCCCCACCAAACTTGCCAGGCTTGTTCCCTCCAACCACACATAGCAGATAATCAATCAGTACTTATCAAGATAACCTGTTGAATATCTGAATTTGATTCAGGAAGCAGGAACAAGTTTAGATTTAAATTTGAATTCTTTCTGTCCCAAGAAAATGATTCACAGATATTGAATCCTTGGATTTCCTCATCCTTGCAAGTGGATTTCTCTTTTTAATTAAAAATATCAGCTAGTTTAGGACGTTTTAGGGCCCTACAAGAAAGAACCCACACTACTAGAGAGGCCAGGATGCTAGGAAAAGTGTCCCCAGGAAGAGCTCTGGTTTTGAATCTCTGCCCCACCCAGGACCACCCCCTGCCCTCCCTCTGACTGATCCCATTTGAGCTTAATCTTCACTTAAAGAGAAGTAGGGTACTGCCTAGCCTAGAAATAGCAGGGTCATAACACAGAGAAGCAATTTTACTTGGCTCATCCTTGACTTGCTGTTGTATTGTTTGGTATTTCCACTGTCTCTTCTTGTCGGTGCAGAGGCTGTGGGTTCAATTCCCAGGACCACAAAAAAGAAGGGAAAAGTCTGTAAAACTTGTACTTGCTTTTCTAGGCTCGGATTCATATTGTCTGTGAAGACCTCACTGTTAGCTCTTCTTGCTGATGAGATATCTTCTCTCAGTCACTCTGACAGTTCTGGTCACTGCCCGGAAATGTCCATTGCTGGCCAGGGAAAACACTGAAAAACACCAGGCCCTGGTTGCTGAGCATGTAGCAAACCCAAGACCCCCAGGAGGTGAGAGTAGGCCTAGGTTCATCCTAAGAGAGTCAGGACACACACAAGAGCCTACATTTCACCAAGAGAAACAAGAAGCCATAGACCAAAGGGCCTGCACGGTCACAGCCCTGAACACAAACCAGGCCTCTTTGCAGACACCCGGCCTGCATCCCGAAGGCCCTTCTGCTTATGGATTTGTGTGCTAGCTTAAGGTCTAAACTGCTGCCAGTTTTACAACTGGTTTTCATTGGAAGGACTCTGGGCCATAGTGATCCAGAACAAAGAGAGACTTTTTAGCAAGTGGAGAACAAGATCATAATGTCCCAGTTTGCAGGAGCCAACCTCACCTTCCCAGCTCAGGAAATCATAACGAATGTCTCCTCTCCACAATGGACTTCCACTGGGAGATCAGTGGACAACCTGGAAATCATTCAAAGGGGACTCACAGCAGGCAGAGAGGCAAGTACAGCTCTAAACATGACTTCCTTTAAGGAAAAATAATAAGAGGACAGCTTAGAGTTTTCCAGAGCTTATAATGGTGTGTGACGTCCACCCAGTCATCGCCACTCTCTCCAGGGACTGATAGCAAGAGATGGGCTAGGTGACACCCTGCATGAGGAATTCACACAGACAGGGAACACCTGATGTGTCAGGGAAGAAAAACAAAGGCACACACCTCACTTCACAGTAACCCAGTCGCTAAAGAACTGAGAGCAAGCCAGGGTAATTATGCAGGCACTTTGTTATCCACAGCTTCCTTAAGTCTGAACTTCTAGATGTTCTTGGGATCTTCTTTATCTCCTCTCCCTTCCAACTCTAAGGAAAAGGTCAGTTTATTCTGTGCCTTGGTGGCATTGAAAAACAGATGCAGTGCTAGGGTATAGCTCAGAGGTAGAGGACTTGGTACTTTTGTCTGATTTCCTTCTAGTGATGATTCCATATCCTTAGCCAAGGGCACAAAAGGAGAGAAACAGAATTTAGATTACAAGGATAAAACGTAACTCCAAGACCACTCCTAGATAACTGTTATGGTTCGGGTCTGGATGTCCTCTCAAAGCCTCATGAGGTCAGAGGTAGCTGAATCTGGAATGTCAGATGCTGAGATTAAGGTCGTGTGAATACTAAACCACTATGTGTAAGTGAGTAGTTTGGTACTGCCCTAATCCTGGTAGTCTGGATGGGATAAAAGAGACAGAAAGACAGGGTGAAGGTCTCTTGTTGCTTTTGCTGCCTTGTGGGTGCCATGAACTGTTTCTCCTCTGGATGTCTCTCCTGCCGCTCTTGCTGCTTTTGCTGCTTCGGCTGCTGTGGACTTTTGCCCCTCTACCACTCTGCCTTGGAGCCTGCAGATTATGGACTGAAGCCTCTATGAACTGTGAGCTAAATAAACCCTTTTCCCTTTAACTTTAGGTGGCGGGTATTTCATCTCAGCAATGAGAGAAAAGTAACTAACACAATAACGAGTGGTAGTAATGTTGCACAGCCTGCTGCAGGCATCCCTCTGTCCATCACACATAAGCTCATGCTGTTCCTTATCAGATTGGAGTGATTCTAGGTGATGGTCCCAGGCCCACAGGCAAAGCTGGCAAAAGGAAATTCACAGGGCTCCAAAAAAAGTAACTCCAACCTTGCTTCTAATGCCCTCCGTGTACAAATTACTCCAGACATGCTCCAAAAGTCTTTCTCTTGCTCAAGAAAAATCCTATATAAAGAAGCAGAAAGATAATAACCATGCAGTGCACCTGGGGAGAGCAGGATGGCAGAGCACACCTTCGGTTCTCCTGGGAACACCAACACGGCCATGCCAGAGGCTGCACAAGCTGGGATGGCACCCAAAGCCTGTTGGGAATACTAACACGCCCCCAGCCTCCTCCTAGCTGGGCTTCATGACCACTCATAACTCCTACATCTACCCTTCGGCATCTTCAATCTCAGGCAGGCTATGAAGAGCAGGCATTCTAGATCC